GGCCGTGCAAGATGGACGAAGAACAATAATTGAAACGGCTGCGTTTCACGGTGCACGGCCAGAATTGTGTAGTGCACGGCCGTGCACCTGGCCGTGCAACTCGGGGAAAACCCGGTTTTAAGGCCTATTCCGAGCCAGAAGTGGGAGAATCGTGTTTTCAGAGCAAAAACAGAGCCCTAGAGAGAAAGTGCGAAGAACACACCCTAGAAGCTGTCTTAGATTTGGATTTCATCGAATCGAGCTTGGAGATCGTCATAGGAGTGGAAATCATCGTCCCGGAGCAGATTATCCTCATCGTTATGAGTATGACTAATCCGATTCTTGTTTTCTCTTCTCTCTCTATGGAGTAGAACCCTTCTCTCACTTGGGTATGAAGAACCCTAGTTCCTTGTGTTAGAGATTTGATTGTAATGACTTGGGATGATATTACTGTTTGATTTTAATCGAATGACGCATGTTTCATGAATTGATTTGAGTCTGATCAGCTTTTCTCAATTTCTGCTGCAACCTGAGATAGATAGAATCTGATTAGGTTGTTAGAGCCTCTTCATTCGATAGTAGGAGATTGGCTATACGAGAGTTAGCCAGTTTACTGCTTTGTACTGGTGTTCTTGGCGCCAGTAGTGGAGTTCTGTGTTCATAGCCTCAGCTTTCCATCCCGGTGAAGACTAGTCGTCTGCCGGGTAGTTAGACTGAGAGGGCTTGGTCAGCTTAAGAGATTCCAAGCTACTGTCGGATCTTCCGCAGTCTAATCAACAGTAAATCAACCCAGGGAATTGCAATTGAACCTAACTAAGGGGCTAGGGGGACTCAATCCCGAGTGACTCTTGCCTGCTTTAGAAACCCGAACAATTTACTGCTTTCTTGTTGCTTTTACTTTTCACAACAATCACTCGAACTAGTTTGCTAGATAATAGAGAATCACGGAGTAAGCAGTAGATCTAGACCCCGGGTTGATAATTAAACTTGCCTATACTGCAGTCCCTTTCATTGGTTACACTTGGCCATTGTTAGGTGTTGTGTTTTAGCGTGTCAGTTACCGGATTGAAACACTGCTGGGGGACTGGAAGTGGACCAGTCAGCGAGAAACAGACGGGAAGATGGACAGTTCTGCACGAATCGAACACCAAGAACACACTAGCACACTGTGTGTTAGGGATAAGTGTTAGCCCAGACGGCTACAATATAAGCAAACCACAAAAGAAAACCAAAAACAAAGACAACCGACACTAAGTTCAAGCTCCTCACACATGGAGCAAACACACAAAAGTCTAAAACGAAAAACAAAACACACTGAGATGGGCAACGAGTACAACCTACTCGTCGCCAAGATCATCGAAGTCGATGTCGGCCATGAAGGCGTCATCACCAGCAGCTCCATCAGCACCATCATCACCGTCAGCTGGGGCATGTGGAAGTGGAGAGTCCTCCCAGGAAGTCCTCCAGACGGGCTGCTCGCCCGGGAGCAGCTGGAGCAGGTGCTGCTGGACCTCCTGCATGCGCCGTGAACGGCGCTTCTCCCGCTCGATGTGGGCGAGAGTCACTCCCTGCTGTGTCTGGAGTATGTCCAGGCGCTCATCATAAGCAGCCATCCTGTTCTGGTACTCGGCCCGGTGTTCCGCGTACTGCTGATGGAACTGCATCTGCTGGTCGAGGATCTGCTGGTTCTGGATCCGCAGCTGCTCGAACTGGTAGGAGAAGTAATCCTGGCCCGGGAAGGCGGAGCTGCCACCGCCGTACTCGAAGGTGGTGGGGCGGGGGGCAGCAGCAGCATCCACCTCCTCGGGCTCAACATAATCAGCAGCCTCCTCCTCCTGGCCCTCTGGCTGGACCTCTGGCTGGGTCTCCGCGGGGATCTGAGGTTCTGGAAACCCCTCGACCCATAGAATGTCGCGGTTCTCTCGGAGCAGGTGCATGTGACTGATCGTCTTCCTGCCAAAGATGAGGGTGTCCCCCTGCTGTGTGCACCCCTGCAATGAAAGCCCGAAGTTGGTGGCCAGGCGGGTGATGAGAGGGGCGCAGTGGAGGCTCTTCAGTTCCGAAGCAGTCTTCTCAAAGGTCCTGGCCACCACCGATCCCAAGTGGAGAGGATGGTATCGAAGCGGTGAAGTACATGGCCCTCTTGGTGATGGCGCTCGCACTATCTGACGCTGGGGTGTAAGACTTCGCCAGCAGGTGGTGGAGAAGGCGGTTGTCGAGCGACAGGGTAGTGGCCTTCGCCCTCCCAGCCGAGAAGGGACGTCTCTGGCCTGGCTTAGCCAGGCGGGTGTACAGCCTCATGAAGTCCACCTCCGGCGGGTCGTTGACCTTGGTGATGTAGTCCGCACCATCATCCAGGTCGAGGTCGAGAGCCTCAGCCAGCTCATGGTAGCTCATGGACCGGGGGGCACCGCCTAGCCTGAATTTGACGGTTGTACCGTCCTTCCAATCGGTCGTGGGTGTGTGCCTGAAGGTCGTGTAGAACTCCAGCACGGGCTCGTAGTAGACCTTCTCGCAGATGGAGAGCAGACGGCGCCATGTGCGGTTGGCGACGGCGGCGGAGAGTTGCTCGTAGCAGTTCAATCTCCGAAACTCCCGTTTGGACCAGCAATGGTGCTGCCCAAACGGGCATGCCAGGAGCTGCTTGAAGCGATCCTCGTCAGGGCCCCTCCTCAGATCCCGGATGAACGGGTGCTTGAGGTCAGGTTTCGACATTGTCCTGCAAAAGAACAACCCAAAGTGGAACCAAAAGAGCCAAAGAAAAGGTCAATCACACCCCCACACTTAAGAACAGAAAACAGCCTAACCATGGTTTCATCCATAGTTCGGGGGTCAAAAACTCGATAAATCAAGCATAATCTGAGTGGGGGTGCACATTCACGAGAAATTAGGCAACTTAAGGTTCACATCCATAGCAAATACACCCTCAGAGTACATCATTAAGGGCCCCAACCGGTGGCCACAACATGGCATGAAAAATAGGCATTTCATCGAACGCCTTGTGTGCACTATTAAGTTAAGCATGAAATTGGCAAAATTCTTGCACACAAGGGCTCAAACAATCAAGGGGGACATTGCCCAACACAATTCAAACAAACTCCATGCATTCCCCTCAATCAATTGCACAAAAATCACAAGATTCAATAAGGTTCTCTAAACATACACCCTAACACCCAATTCTCCAAAATTAACATAGTTAAGGGCAAAATCAAACCTGGAGACTCAAGTAGAGGTGTAGGGGATGATGAGGGGAAGGCGATGGACGCGAAGAAAAGCCGAAAAGTGCCCGGAAGTGCTCGTCGGAGCCTCGTCGGAGTCTCGCCGGAAATCGCCTCCGGCGACAAAAACGTCGGCCAAATCTCCTCAAAATGGAGGGATAGGCCGCGTTTGGTGTGGGAAGGATGGGTTTATTGTTGGTTTGGTGAAAAAATGACAAAAAATGGCCGGAAAAATCAAAATAGGGTGGTTTGTCGCGGTTTTCCGGGCAGATTCAGAGGATTCCGGCGAGGGTTGTAAAAAAATCTGACCACTCGGCCGTGCAGGCCGAATATATAGGTCGTGGCTCGGCCGCACGGGCAGGCTCGCACGGCCATGCAAGGTGCACTATTGCACGTGTTGGCCGACACGGCCAGGCCGAGGAATTCCACACGGCCGTGCGAATTGCACATTTGGCCGTGTTGAATTTGCCGAGAGCTCGCACGGCCAGAGGATAAAATCCACACGGCCGTGCGAGAATTTGCGTTGCCCGTGTCGGCCACACGGCCATGCCAAGCCAAGCCACACGACCGTGCAAATTTGCACTTTTGGCCGTGCGAAAATTGCCGAGAGCTCGCACGTCCAGGGGATAAAATCCACACGGCCGTTCAAGTTTATGGCCTGGCCGTGTGAGGTGCTGGGGCCCCGAATTCAACCTGTTTTCACTCAAAAACGATATTTGACTATGGATCAACACCTCAAGACTCAAAAAACACAAAAACAGAAGGAAAAAAAATGCAAACCTCGGTGGGGTTGCCTCCCCACAAGCGCTTCTTTACCGTCTTTTAGCTGGACGCCAGTAGAGGAACTAAGGGTCCTCGAGCTTGATCAGCAGCTCTGTGCGCTCGACAGCACCTCCCAAATACAACTTTAGGAGGTGGCCATTCACCTTGAATGGCTCGGTTTGAGCATTGCTGATCTCCACCGCACCATGCGGGAAAACTTGGGTGACCGTGAAGGGACCCGACCACCTTGAACGGAGCTTGCCCGGAAAGAGTTTCAGGCGTGCATTGAAGAGCAGAACATGATCACCTACCTGAAACTCCTTCGGGCCCCTCAACCTAGCGTCGTGGAGACGCTTGGTGCGCTCTTTGTAGAGCAGGGTGTTCTCGTAGGCGTGGTAACGCCACTCCTCCAACTCCAGCAACTGCAATTTCCGTTCTGTACCTGCAACACTCAAATCTAGGTTTAGCAGCTTAATGGCCAAGAAGGCCTTGTGCTCTACCGGCAAATGGCACGCCTTCCCATAGATAAGCCTATAGGGAGAGGTGCCAATCGGATTTTTATAGGAAGTCTTATACGCCAAGAGAGCATTGACTCACTCCTACTGTCACTCTAGAAAATGTCCAAGTGTAACCACTTCCTAAAGCATAGTATAGCGGGTTTGGGTTTTATTGTCAACCCGGGTCCTAGATGTGATGACTACTCGGTGAATTCTCGTTATCTAGCAGTGAACTTTTAGTGCACATTCACGTAAACAAAAACACAAAGCAAGTAAACGGTTGTTGTCAAGTCAAGAGAGGTCACCCGGATATGGTTCCCCCTAGACTGCAGTTAAGTCGGATTGCAATTTACCAAGTTCAGTTTTCATGAAAGTTATACTGCGGAAGGTTCTTAATTAGCCTGAAGTCTCGACTAAAGGTCTCCAGACCCTCTGAATCTGAGCCAATTCGCCACCTTCGATTAAGGATACTCTATCAACCTAGGCAGATATTCTCATTCTAGGTCAAAGCAGAAACAACAGGAATTTGATCAGGATTCAAGTCATTCAATCATTCAAACCTCAATCGAATATAATCAATTCACAAACTCTGTACTTGGGTTCATACAATCAGACCTAGCATACAAATCTAGGGTTTCCCATACCCAGATGAATGGGGGAACTACTCCATAGAGAAAGAAGCAAAAGCAGATTCAGACGCGGAAATCATACTGTGAAGATGGATTTCTGCTCCTGGACGTTCAATCGGCACTTCTCCAAGCTCAAGCCGGGCTCCAATGGTGATGAAGATCAAGCTATGGCACTTGGGAACTCTGGTTCGTCGCTTTCTCTCTCTAGGGATCGCTTTCTCTCTCAAAAACTCGGAACCCTTCAATGTTGGCCTTCTTCTTCCTTTTATTAGCTGCCTGGTCGCGATACCCGGTCGAAATACCCGGTCGGGTATTTCGGGTTTCGACCGGGTATTTGCAGAACGCACCATTTCGTTTAAGGGGAAAATCCCCAGTCTGACTTCATAATCCCCGACCGGGGATTTAAGCCATTTGCCCGGGCCCCCTTCTGTTTCTCACGGACGCCCGAAGTGAAAATTACCCGACCAAGGCCAGAAAATACCCGGTCGGGTATTCCTGCCTTTGGCCGGGTATTTTGGTCCAACAGCCTCCTTCGTCCCAACTTCGCTCCTTTCGAACCAGAACTCGTTTCTCCGCCTCGATTCCAACGCCGGGTCCTGAAATATGACATAAACACACAACCTAGCGTGAAATCGGTTTAAAACACGAGATTCCTCATCACAAACGGCTTCAGAATAGGGGTGAAAACATGTATAATTATCGGTCTATCAATCTCCCCCACACTTAACCGTTTGCTTGTCCCCAAGCAAACCTAACTCAAACCAATGCAGCTCTCCAGACCTCTATAGCGACAAACAACCTCGATCGTAGGTAGAGGACTTCCTAGATCATTTAGCAACTTACGAGGTCAACCGACGCACAAGTCATCTCATAGCTTCTTCGGCGAGAGCACTAGTCTCGAGTCGGCATCATGGCAAATATTGAACAGAGGACAAATGAAATGTGGTGTAGAACTCCCACACCAGCTCCGTGTAGGTAGGCTCGTCGATCGTTAGCAACGTCCGCCAATCGCGGTGACTGATGGCGGCGCTGAGCTCCTGCAGACAGTGGAGCTGCTCGAACACCGCCCACTCGAGGTGGTAGTGGCGCTCCAATCGCCCCCGGATCACGTTGCGGAACTGATCCGCGTACTCCGCGTGCAGGCGCAGACCCTGCACAAATGGAGGGTCCTGAGACATGTTCCTGCAAAATCAATACACCAAAGGTGGAGCCAAGCAAAACTGGTCAGGACCAACAGCATGGGTTCATCGCTTCCCCCACACCTAAGGCCACCTAGGCTAACAATGATACGCACAGCCGGTTGAATCACAAGCGACTCAACCGGAATCAAGCAAGAATCACAGAACCAATCACATTCACGACAAGGGCAGTACACACACCAAAGATAAAACCATGCAAGCTTAAGGCATCGCTCACCCTACTCTAGATCAGGCATGCAAACATAGTTCTCGGTCTTACAGTCTACAGTTCGATTCTCCAGAAAAAGAGTAAGAAATAAGAAGCACACCTGGAAACACAAGTAGAACTGTAGTGCGGACACGAGAAAGGGGTGAGGGACGCGAGGGGGGGCCAAAAATCGGCCGAGGAGGGTCGCCGGAAAGTGGCCGGAAAATGGCCGGAAGACCGCCGGAAAATCGCCGGAAAGTTGCAGGCGGTGACCGGCGGCGACGGGGAAGGCGGCCGGCGGCGGCGGAGTGCGGCGGCGGCCGGCGGCGGAGCGATGGCCGGCGGCGGCGGAGGGCGGCGGCCGGCGGCGCTCAAGAAGAGAGAGGGGAGAGGATTTGAGAGGAAGAGAGAGAGGAAATTCTGGAAAAATGAGGGTAGAGAGAGAAACTGTCCGGGGGTTTGCTATTTATAGCAAAAATACCCGGTCGGGTCTCAAAAATACCCGGTCGGGTATTCTCGAGTCCACGACCGGGGATCTGTCAAACGCCGCGTTTCAAAGAGGCAAGGTATTTTTGGCGGGAGATCGGGGGTTCCCTAAACGCAGCGTATCAAGGCCAGGAAATCCCCGGTTTCAAGCCAAAAATACCCGGTCGGGTATTTTTGGCCTGAGGTCGGGGATTTGACCTTTTGGCGCCCCGGAAGGCAGAAGGGGGCCCGGGCACGAGCCAAAAATACCCGGTCGGGTATTTTGGCTCATGACCGGGTATTTTACCCTTCCGCCCAAAATTCTCATTCTCCAAAATTTCGACCTCTCCTGCACGAAAACACCAAATCGAGGCATTACAGATGACCGAACTTCACTACAGACATGCAACCGACTCGACACGACACAAAAAAAAACTCAGGAAAAAGGGAAAAGAAAATGCAAACCGTGGTGGGGTTGCCTCCCCACAAGCGCTTCTTTACCGTCTTTTAGCTGGACGCCCATGGCGGAACTAAGGGTCCGCGAGTTCCACCACCAACTCCGCACGTTCGACCTTGTCTCCCAGGTAGAGTTTGAGACGATGGCCATTCACTTTAAACGGCTCAGTCTGCGGGTTGGCAATCTCAATAGTGCCATACGGGAACACCTGGGTGACCGTGAACGGTCCAGACCACCGGGAACGGAGTTTTCCGGGAAAGAGTTTCAGGCGAGAGTTATAGAGGAGAACTCGATCACCAACCTGGAACTCTTTCGGACCCCGCAACCGGGCATCGTGCAGGCGCTTAGTGCGCTCCTTGTATAGCCGGGTGTTCTCATAGGCGTGGTAACGCCACTCTTCCAGCTCCAACATCTGCATTTTTCGCTCAATACCTGCAACACGAACATCCAAGTTGAGCAGCTTAAGGGCCCAGAAGGCCTTGTGCTCTAGCTCCACGGGCAAATGGCATGCCTTTCCATAGACAAGCCGGTACGGTGAAGTACCAATGGGTGTCTTGTAGGCAGTGCGATACGCCCACAGAGCATCATCGAGCTTGGTGGACCAATCTTTGCGGGACTGATCCACCTTTTTCTCCAGGATCCGCTTGCGCCTCAGCCGACCTAGAGACGTAGTCAACAGCAACCAGAATATAGGTGTTACCAAAAGATGGAGGGAAGGGGCCCATGAAGTCGATACCCCAGACATCAAAAATCTCACAAGTTATAAACACATTCTGGGGCATCTCATCACGGGAAGAGATGTTACCTGACCTCTGGCATCGGTCGCACCTGCGTGCGAAGGCGTCTGCATCCTTGAAGAGCGTGGGCCAGTAAAAGCTCGACTGGAGCACCTTCCTCGCCGTGCGGTTTCCTCCGTGATGACCGCCAGTAGGTCCCTCATGACAGTGAGATAGAATGCCCTCCATCTCACTCTACATAACACAACGACGGATGATCCCGTCGGCTCCGATCCGAAAAAGATGAGGGTCATCCCAGAAGTAGTACTTCAGATCGGAGAAAAACTTCCTCTTGGCGTGAGTTGCCATACCCTTGGGAAGCTGCTGGCCCACCAAATAGTTCGCAAAATCAGAATACCAGGGGGTGACACTCTCCACCAAGCATATCATCATCAACCTCTCATCTGGGAAGGAGTCGTCAATCTCCTCCACGAGGTTGTCCGCAGGAGGTGCGTCCAATCGGGAGAGGTGATCAGCTGCAACATTTTCTGCTCCCTTATTGTCCCGGATCTCAATATCAAACTCCTGCAGTAGTAAGATCCATCATATGAGCCGAGGTTTGGCATCGGCCTTGCTCATCAGGTATCTAATCACGGAGTGATCTGTGTACACGGTCACATGGGACAAGACCAGATAGGGGCGAAATTTATCGAAGGCAAACACCACTGCAAGCAGCTCCTTCTCTGTGGTGGTGTAGATCTCATGGGCATCATTCAGAGTCTTCGAGGCGTAGTAGATAGGTCGGAAGTGTTGATCTCGCCGCTGCCCCAAAACAGCTCCAACAGCAAAGTCACTGGCGTCGCACATCAGCTCAAATGGTAGGGACCAGTCAGGAACAACCATGATAGGAGCCTGGGTGAGCTTCTCCTTCAAGGTGGTGAACGCCGCTGTGCAAGAAATCGTCCATAAACACCTCCATGATCTCGCCGACCAGACGGTCAAAGATGGCGAGCATGCATCGCTGAAAAGTGGCTGGGGCGTTGCATAGCCCGAATGGAATCCTCCGGTAAGCAAATGTGCCGAAGGGACAGGTGAAAGTGGTCTTCGCCTGGTCCTCCGGTAAGCAAATGAGATCGGCTGAAACAGCCTGTCGCCCTCCAAGAAGGGGCCACTCTCCAATGCGGCCAACTGCTCCGCCAGCTGCGGCTCCTGCGATGCCTGCTCACCTAGCAAAATACAACGCTCAAGAGCATCATCAGTACCCGCACTCGTGATAGCGAGTGCGGTCTCAAAATCGGTAAGCACATCACAGTAGTCTATGTCATCATGCAAATGAGAATGTTTCCCACTGTCAGACACAGAAAAAGTAGGATGTTCATCACCAGCACGCAAGATCAATTTACCACTATGCACATCAATAAGCGCCTTGGCGGTGGCGAGAAATGGTCTACCCAAAATCAAAGGCACATCCACATCCTCATTTATATCCAAAATAACAAAATCAACAGGATATGTGAATGCACCGACATTAACAAGCAAGTCCTCAATGATACCCCTAGGATGCACGATAGAACGATCAGCTAACTGAATGCTCATCCTAGTAGCTCTAGGTTCACCTAGGTCTAGCTTCTTAAACAATTTATAGGGCATGACATTTATGCTAGCGCCTAGGTCCGCCAAGGACTTTCCTACATGCATGCTGCCAATAACAAGAGGGATAGTGAAACTCCCTAGGTCTTTGCGCTTCTCAGACAGCTTGTTCTGCAGGATAGCAGAACACTCCTCGATGAGCATCACTGTCGAAAGATCCCCAAGTTTCTTCTTGTTGGTGAGGAGGTCTTTCATGAACTTGGCATACTTGGGCATCTTCGACAGTGCCTCCACGAACGGCATGCTGATGTTGACCTGCTTCAACATTGCCATGAACTTGGCAAACTCTGTCTCCAGCTTGTCTTTATGAAGTCAAGTGGGGAAGGGCAGCTGGGGTGTATGCTCCTTAACCACAGGCTGCGGCTTGGGAGCAGGTGTTTCGCTGCCTTCCCCCACCTCTGCAGTATCAGCTGGAGGTGTTGAAGCAGGTAGTGGGTCGTCTCGCCTGGGCTGGGCAGGAGCAGCAGATATGGTCTTGCCACTCCTGGTGGTGATGGCGTCCAGCTGCTGGAGGGGGTCACGAGGATTAGGAACAGTGGTGGCAGGCAGAGTCCCCGGTGCCCTGGTAGTGTTCTGGCGAGCTAAGCTCCCAATCTGATTCTGTAGATCCTCCAGAATGGCACCTTGGTTTCTCTGGCCTGCCTCCAGTGAGGCTATGTTCTGATCCATCCTCGTGAAATTCGCCTGACTGGTGGTCATGAATGCCTGCAAAATGTTCTTCAGATCAGCCATCTGAGTATCTGGAGCTGCGGCTGCTGGAGGCTGAGCAAACTGGCGCTGGGGCTGCTGGAATGGCTGCCCTTGCCTAGGATGGTAGGGTTGCTGCTGTGGTGGTGGCCCCTGCCTAGCCTGGAAGGGCTGCCTCTGCTGAAAACCACCTGCTGGTGCTGGGAAACCAGGTGGTTTGTTGGTGTTGCTGCTCTAGGCAAAATTGGGATGCTGGCGCCATCCCTCGTTGTAGGTACTGCTGTATGGGTCCAGGCGCCGAGCATTGGCGATGAAGTCCACCTGCTCTTGGGGAGTAGAGGACTCCCTCAGATTGACAATCCTCCACCAGGTGATTCGGGCTGTCACACCACTGACACTGAGCTACAGGAGGCGTAGCTACACCTCGGCCCGGAAGGAGACTGTTAGGCTGCTTCAATGTCTGCACCAACTCAGCCACCTGCTGCTCTAACCCGGACCTGGCCTCCATAGCATGCACACCCCGGTCCCGGGAATTCCTGCCTCTGTTGTTCTGTCCCCAAGAATGATCTTGGGCAGCCAAGGTACTGATCATCTGGTTCAGCTCGGGTGGAGTATTAGTAAGGATATCCCCTCCTGGGCATAGAGACTCAATCACCCTCTGGCTGTCTGGAGTGAGGGCGCTATAGAAGTTCCCCACTGTGAATGCATCGCTGAAGCCATGATGGGGACACTGCAAGAAGTATCCCATGTACCGCTCCCATGCATCACGAAGTGACTCATCTGGCTCTTGGCGGAAATGAGTGATCTCCCGCTGAATCTCTGTGGTCTTCGATGCCGGATAGTACCTGTGCACGAACTTGTCAGCTAGATCGTCCCAAGAGGTGATGGACAATGGGGGCTGGGTCTCCAACCACCTCTTAGCATTCCCCGCCAGAGAATGGGGGAAGAGGTGAAGGCGGATTGCGTCATCCGGGACACCGTTCAGCTTGAACCCGTTCGTCAGCTGCAGAAAACGGGAAAGATGTACCCGGGCTTCCTCATCCTTCAAGCCATGGAACTGGATAGAGGATGTAATGAGTTGAATCCAGCATGGCTTGATCTCGAAGTTGTTTGCAAGAATGGGCGGATAGAGGATGACCGGGCGGATGTCAGCAATCCGTGGAGTATAGTAGTACTCCAAGGTGGGACCCGGTGGTGGTGGATGATGATGGGCCCCAGCTCCCTGGGGATTGGGGTCGTTCCCCAGGATCTGGTTCACCGGAGGTGGGTTCTGATCGCCTTCCATCTCGTACTCGTCTTCGGATTCGCTGCTCAATTGGCCGTCTCTGCGCTCCACCGTAGGCAGTCTAGCTCGCTGTTGTCTCCGAAGTTGGTTGCAGGTGCGTTCAATCTCAGGATTCAACGGCAGTAAACCTCCCGACTGGCTACGGGGCATGCACTATCTGCACACAATCAAGCAATGCAAACCCGTGAAGGCACAAGTGGGAAAGAACAAACACTCAATGCAAAAATGAAAATGCTAAAGTAACAGAAATCACTTTTCTTCAACAACCTAGCCGTCCCCGGCAACGGCGCCAAAAACTTGACTCACTCCTACTGTCACTCTAGAAAATGGCCAAGTGTAACCACTTCCTAAAGCGTAGTATAGCGGGTTTGGGTTTTATTGTCAACCCGGGTCCTAGATGTGATGACTACTCGGTGAATTCTCGTTATCTAGCAGTGAACTTTTAGTGCAAATTCAAGTAAACAAAAACACAAAGCAAGTAAACGGTTGTTGTCAAGTCAAGAGAGGTCACCCGGATATGGTTCCCCCTAGACTGCAGTTAAGTCGGATTGCAATTTACCAAGTTCAGTTTTCATGAAAGTTATACTGCGGAAGGTTCTTAATTAGCCTGAAGTCTCGACTAAAGGTCTCCAGACCCTCTGAATCTGAGCCTCTAGCGGGCGACTAACCTCCACCGGAGTAAACAGATTGAGGCCCTAACGAACCAAACCTCCACTACCGAATTGAATTCGGTACAGAATAGCGAATTGGCTCCTCGACTAAAGTCACCAATTCGCCACCTTCGATTAAGGATACTCTATCAACCTAGGCAGATATTCTCATTCTAGGTCAAAGCAGAAACAACAGGAATTTGATCAGGATTCAAGTCATTCAATCATTCAAACCTCAATCGAATATAATCAATTCACAAACTCTGTACTTGGGTTCATACAATCAGACCTAGCATACAAATCTAGGGTTCCCCATACCCAGATGAATGGGGGAACTACTCCATAGAGAAAGAAGCAAAAGCATATTCAGACGCGGAAATCATACTGTGAAGATGGATTTCTGCTCCTGGACGTTCAATCGGCACTTCTCCAAGCTCAAGCCGGGCTCCAATGGTGATGAAGATCAAGCTATGGCACTTGGGAACTCTGGTTCGTCGCTTTCTCTCTCTAGGGATCGCTTTCTCTCTCAAAAACTCGGAACCCTTCAATGTTGGCCTTCTTCTTCCTTTTATCAGCTGCCTGGTCGCGATACCCGGTCGAAATACCCGGTCGGGTATTTCGGGTTTCGACCGGGTATTTGCAGAACGCACCGTTTCGTTTAAGGGGAAAATCCCCGGTCTGACTTCGTAATCCCCGACCGGGGATTTAAGCCATTTGCCCGGGCCCCCTTCTGTTTCTCACGGACGCCCGAAGTGAAAATTACCCGACCAAGGCCAGAAAATACCCGGTCGGGTATTCCTGCCTTTGGCCCGGTATTTTGGTCCAACAGCCTCCTTCGTCCCAACTTCGCTCCTTTCGACCCAGAACTCATTTCTCCGCCTCGATTCCAACGCCGGGTCCTGAAATATGACATAAACACACAACTTAGCGTGAAATCGGCTTAAAACACGAGATTCCTCATCACAAACGGCTTCAGAATAGGGGTGAAAACATGTATAATTATCGGTCTATCAAGCATCATCGAGCTTGGTGGACCAATCCTTGCGGGACTGATCCACCGTCTTTTCAATTATCCGTTTTAATTCCCAGTTTGTCAGCTCGGCCTGCCCATTTGACTGGGGATGGTAGGCCACCGACACCTGATGCTTAACGCCATAGCGAGAGAGGAGTTTAGTGAATTGCCCCTGAAAATGGGTTCCTCTATCACTAATAATGGCGCGAGGTGTCCCGAACCGGGAGAACAGCTGCTTCAGAAATGAGCAGACCCGTCTTACATCATTGGTGGGCATGGCTTGAGCTTCTGTCCACCTCGAGACGTAGTCCACTGCAACCAATATGTACAGATTGCCAAAAGATGGAGGGAATGGGCCCATGAAATCGATACCCCAAACATCAAAAATTTCACAAATAACAGAGATATGTTGGGGCATCTCATCCCGGGCAGAAATGTTACCTGACCTTTGGCAGCGGTCGCACTGTCGTGCGAAGGTGTCTGCATCCTTGAAGAGCGAGGGCCAATAGAAGCCCGACTGTAGCACCTTCCGCGTCGTGCGGTTTCCTCCATGATGACCTCCAGTAGGTCCCTCGTGACATTGAGACAGGATGTCTCCCATCTCATGCTCCATGACACAGCGCCGGATCACGCCATCTGCTCCGATTCTGAAGAGGTAAGGATCCTCCCAGAAGTAGTGCTTCAGATCGAAGAAGAACTTGCGCTTTGCATGAGTAGCCATCCCCTTGGGTAACTGCTTGTCCACCAGATAATTGGCAACGTCAGAATACCAAGGGGCCACGCTGTCCACCAGGGTCATCGCCAGCAATCGCTCACCCGGGAATGAGTCGTCGATCTCTTCCTCGAAGTTGTCCACCGGAGGGGCTTCCAACCGTGAAAGATGATCTGCAGCAACATTCTCGGCTCCCTTCTTGTCCCGGATCTCGATATCAAACTCCTGCAGCAGCAGGATCCAGCGGATGAGCCTAGGCTTTGCATCAGCCTTCTTATCAGGTAGCGAATCGCCGAGTGGTCAGTGTAGACCACCACATGGGAGAGCACCAGATAGGGTCGGAACTTGTCAAACGCATACACCACATCGAGGAGCTCCTTCTCTGTGGTGGTGTAATTCTCCTGTGCATCGTTCAAGGTCTTCGACACGTAGTAGATGGGCTGGAAGTGCTTCTCGCGTCTCTGACCCAGAACTGCTCCGACTGCGTAGTCACTCGCATCGCACATCAGCTCAAAAGGAAGAGACCAGTCAGGAGTCACCATGATAGGTGCATGGGTAAGCTTATCCTTCAGAGTCTCAAATGCAGCTGTGCACTCGGGAGTGAACTGGAATGGTGCATCCTTCTCCAGCAGCTTGGTCAAAGGCAGGGCAATCTTCGAGAAATCTTTGATGAAGCGCCGGTAAAAGCCTGCATGACCCAGAAAGCTGCGAATCCCCTTCACAGAAGCAGGAGGAGGTAACTGACTGATCGTCTCAATCTTCGCGCGATCCACCTCAATTCCCTGCTTGGAGATCTTGTGCCCGAGCACAATACCCTCACGAACCATGAAATGGCACTTCTCCCAGCTGAGTGCCAGATTAGTCTCCTCGCACCTCTTCAGAACGAGTTCCAGGTTATGGAGACAGTGAGTGAAGGAGTCTCCATATACCGAGAAATCATCCATGAAGACTTCCATGATCTCTCCAACCAGTCGGCCGAAGATCACCAGCATGCATCTCTGGAAGGTCGCCGGTGCATTACACAGCCCAAATGGAATCCTCAGGTAAGCAAAAGTACCGAAGGGGCAAGTGAATGTGGTCTTCGCCTGATCCTCCGGTGCAATAGGAATCTGGAAGTAACCAGACATGCCATCCAGGAAGCAATAGAACTCATGACCAGCCAACCTCTCCAGCATCTGATCAATGAAAGGTAGGGGGAAATGATCTTTCTTGGTGGCGTCGTTCAGGCGCCAGTAATCGATGCAGACTCTCCAGCCGGTCACGGTCCGCATCGGGATCAACTCCTTCTTCTCATTCGGGACCACAGTCATCCCGCCTTTCTTCGGGACCACCTGAGTGGGGCTGACCCACTTGCTATCAGATATAGCAAAGATGATCCCTGCATCCATGAGCTTCACAATCTCTGCCCGGACCACTGCCTCCAAGTTAGGAGACAATCTCCTCTGTGGCTGCCTGACTGGCTTAACCTCATCCTCCATCAAAATTCTGTGAGAGCAGAAGGATGGGCTAATGCCTCTGATGTCGGTGATCTTCCATGCCATGGCCCGGGCATACTTCTGCAGCAGATCCACCAGCTTGCTCTTCTGCTCGGGTGTCAGATCCGAGCTAATAATAACCGGGAGCTTATTCCCCTCCCGGAGAAATGCATACTCCAGGTGGGATGGGAGGGGTTTAAGGCTCCTCCAATGACGTAGCGAGCCGGGGTGAGATGGGGATCGGCTTGAAAGGTATCTCTCGCCCCTCGATCGCAGCCTCGTCCAACTCCGCAAGCTGCTCCTCCAGCTGCACATCCTGTGATGCCTGTTCCCCTAGCAAAAGACAACGCTCAAGGAAATCATCAGTACCCGCACTCGTGATGGCGAGTGCGGTCTCAAAATCAGCAACAACATCACAGTAATCTAAATCATCATGGAGCTGGGGGTGTTTCATATTATCAGAAATAGAGAAGGTGATTTGTTCACCCCCGGCTCTCAAAATCAGTTTTCCATCATTAACATCAATAAGAGCCTTGGCGGTGGCGAGAAAAGGTCTACCCAGTATCAATGGCACATCAACATCCTCATTTATGTCCAAAATCACAAAATCAACAGGATATGAAAATGGCCCTACTGCGACTATCAAGTCCTCTGCTATACCCCTAGGATGCACAATGGATCTATCAGCAAGCTGGATGCTCATCCTAGTATTACTGGGTTCACCTAGGCCTAGCTTCTTAAACAGTGTATATGGCATGACATTTATGCTAGCGCCTAAATCCGCCAAGGACTTTCCTACATGCAAACTACCAATCATGCAAGGGATAGTGAAACTCCCTGGGTCTTTTCGCTTCTCCGGTAGTTTGTTCTGCAGGATGGCAGAACACTCCTCGTTTACCATCACCGTGGACAACTCCCCAAGCTTCCTCTTGTTGGTGAGGAGATCCTTCATGAACTTGGCATACTTGGGCATCTTCGATAATGCCTCTACGAAGGGCATGCTAATGTTTACCTGCTTCAGCATTGCCATGAATTTGGCAAACTCAGTCTCCAGTCGGTCCTTGTGCAACCGAGTAGGAAAGGGAAGCTGTGGTACATACTCCTTCACCACTGGTTGCGGTTTAGGAGCAGGCACCTCAACCTCCTTCTCTATTTCTTCCTGATTAGCTGGAAGTGCTGAAGCGGGGGTCTCTCTTTCCTCTGCCCGAACAGGTGGATCGACAGTCACCTTGCCACTCCTGGTTGTGATGGCACTGCAGTTGGCATTAGGGTCATGCGGGTGAGGGATGGTCTGACCAGGCAAGGTACCTGGAGTCCTCTGAGCGACAGCCTGGGCAACACTCCCAAGCTGGGTCTGTATATCTCGCAGCACAGCTTGTGTGCTTCTCTGACCAGCTTCTAGCTCCAAGAATTTGCCTGAAGCTTTCTCCATGAATTGCTCAATGTTATTGAACTTATTTGCACTGGAGGTGGCCAGAGAACCCACCAGAACTCTCAATTCCGCCATCGGGTCACTCTGTACTGGAGCTGCAGGTGCTGCCCCTGTCTCCTGAAATGGTCGTGCCTATGACTGAGGTGGAACTGGCCCCTGTCTGGGCGGGTAGAGTGGCTGCTGTGGCTGCTGAAACTGCCCCTGTCTGGGCTGGTATGGAGGCCACTGGAAACCAGGTGGTCCCTGGGGAGCTGGTGGTCTGGGATTTGGCCCAGCCCAAGAAAAGTTAGGATGCTGGCGCCACCCCTCGTTGTAGGTATTGCTGTAGGGGTCGAAGCGCCTGGCATTACCGATGAAGTCCACCTGCTCCTGGGGAGTAGACGATTCCCTCATCGCCTGACAGTCCTCCACGGTGTGATGGGAGCTCTCACACCACTGGCAGTGCATCGCCTGCGACTGTCCTGAACCTGCAATCAAACCAGAACGATCGATAGCTGAAACCAGCTTCGATACCACCTGCACCAAATCAGAGGACTGGGTTCCCACAGCATGCACACCCTGTCCTGGTGCTCGTCTCGATTTCCTGGCAGTGCTCCAATCGTACCCGTTCTCCGCCATCTCCTCAAAGAGTTGATTCAGCTGTGGCGGGGTTTTTGTCAGCATGTTCCCGCCACAAACCGAATCAATCAGCTGCTTGTCCTCCGGGAAGAGGGCGTGATAGAAGGTGCCCACCTTGAAAGCATCATTGAAACCATGATTGGGACACCTGAGAAAGAGACTGGTGTATCTCTCCCAAGCATCCTTGATGGTCTCATCCTCATCCTGAGCAAAATGTGTAATTTGCTTCTGCAGGTCAGCTGTCTTGGATGGAGGATGGTAGCGGGTGAGGAACTTGTCCGCCAGGTTGGCGAACGTGGTGATAGAGCCCG